TTCATTTACTGTGTGATGCTTTTTGGAGAGATTTTTGTCATTCATTCACTTTGTGTAATTTAAGTTGCTATTGGTATTAGTTACCTGGTCCAAGTCACATGACAAGCAGTGATACTGATAATAGGATAGATATTCTAAAATTCAATAAAATAAATAGTGATAGTCACCTGCAATTTGGTCTTTAAAGGCATGCATCAAATTAACAAATGCCAGTGGGATAATTTGGAATAGGATTGTGAAACCTTCTTGGAAAGCTATCTTCACTCAGAAAACTTGGTCCTCAAGGACTCAATTACAGATAAAAAAAAAAAAAAACCCAGAGTAGTTTTAAAAGGCAATATAGACATCTAGAAAACTCATGTTCAATGTTGGGGTCAACAACTAATTAACACAAGTGGGAGTTAAACAGCCTCAACGGACCCTTTGGTTTTTGATCAGACACAATGATGGTCTCTTATTGTGGTAGGGGTGCTGTAACATTTAACCATTTCAGTTTACCTTGTTTTGTTTTCTTATAGCCGAACTTGATACTTTGTATTTTAATGCATTTGGTGGCTGGGCTGTGCCAAACAAAAGGTGATTGACTTTTTGTCATTGTTCTTGTAGGCCCTTTTGAAAAGGGGCAATGTCAAGTTAAAAAATGCATTTAATAAATCAAATCCCCTTACCTGTATCACTAATACAACAGTTAAAGAAATGAACTTTATTCCATTATTCTTTACTTACCATTTACATTGCAGTAGCACCCAGAGGCTTCAATCAGAATCAAGGCCCCATTGTAGTAGATGCTGTAGAGACACACAATAAGATATAGACATTTCCCCAAAGGACTTAAAATCTAAGAAGGCAAGCAACATAAGAAGCATGTATGGAGATAGGACTATAATCCGTAGGGTTGCCAACTTTCTAATTGCACAAAACCGAAGACCCTAGCCCCGCCCCTTCCCCGAGGCTCATCTCCTGCTCACTACATTCTCCGTCCCTCAGTGGCTTGCTCTCCCCCACCCTCACTCACTTTCACTGGGCTGGGGCAGGGGATTGGGGTATGGGAGGGGGTGAGGGATCTAACTGGGGGTGCAGGCTCCGGGGTGGGCCAGAAATGAAGGGTTCAGGGTGCAGGAGGGGATGAGGGCTCTGGCTGGGGTGTGGGCTCTGGGCTGGGGCTGGGGATGAGGGGTTTGGGGTGCAGGAGTGGGCTCCAGACTGGGGGGTGGGGCAGAGGGATTCGGAATATGGGAGGGGGCTGTGGGTTGAGGCGGGGGGTTAGGGTGCAGGAGGGGGTATGGACTCTGGACTGGGGGTGCGGGCTCTGGGCTGGGGATGAGGGGTTCAGGGTGTGGGAGGAGGCTCTGGGCTGGGGCAAGGAGTTGGGGTTCGGGGGGGTGAGGGCTCCGGCTGGGAGTGCAGTCTCTGGGGTGGGGCCAGGGATGAGGGGTTTGGGTTGCAGGAGGGGGCTCTGGGTTGGGGGGGGGGCTCAGGGCTGGGGCAGGGGGTTGGGGCTCGGGTTGCGGTGCAGGCTTACCTCGGGCGGCTCCCGGTCAGTGACACAGCGGGGCTAAAGCAGGCTTCCTTCCTGTCCTGGCACCGCGCTGCTCTTGGAAGCAGCCAGCAGCAGGTCCAGCTGCTAGGCAGGGGGGCAGGAGGTTCTGCAGGCTGCTCTTGTCCACAGGCCCCCCCCCCCCAGCTCCCATTGGCCGTGGTTCCCGGCCATTGGGAGTGCGGAGCTTGTACTCGGGGCGGGGGCAGTACGTGGAGCCCCGTGTCGCCCCTGCCTAGGAGCCGGACCTGCTGCTGGCTGCTTCCAGGGCACAGCGTGGAGACAGACTTTTAACGGGCTGATCGGCAGTGCTGACCAGAGCTGCCAGGGTCCCTTTTCAACCGGATGTTCCAGTTGAAAACAAGACACCTGGTAACCCTAGTAATCAGAGGTATACAATTTTACATACACATCTATAGATTTACAGTTGTTATTTTAGATGTCCTTAGTTAAAGCATTTTTGCTTAGCCTGATCAATTTAGCTAAAGACTTTGTTACATTGCTTCTCTCCCCAAGGATGCTTCTCACTGAATTATCCAATACTCACTTTTCTGAAATTTCCTGTTACCTTAACCAGGGTCACGTCTCCTGACGTGGAGATATGACCCTGTTGAGATACTGAAAAAAGGAGGTTTCAGATAAGTGAGTTTCATACATTTGACATTGCAATTTAAGGATTGGGAGGTAGCTCTCCCAGGGATGAAAAACTGCCCATGCAGTGATCTAGTCCTGAAAGGTCTGGATGTTACCCTGATCTGCCTGTGAAGTTGTTGGTTATCAGCTGTATTATTTGAAGTACTGCTAATGCAGGAAAAGAATGGAGGAAAAACTGCCAGTCCTCCTTGCTTCCAATGCTGGGTTTGCTACCATCAAAAGTGAATACATGGCAAATAAGTGGATATGGGATAGCCTGAGAGATTACTTCCTTGTGTGAGTGAGTGTTCAACGTGGAGACCTGTCACTGAGTGGCTACTTTCTGTGAAGGAGTATAATCCCAGGTTTAGGTGGAGGTTCTTTGCTCTACAGCTCTGCACCTTTACCATTCTTCATTGTCTTGGTAAGCAAAATTAGTGGCAGATTATCTTTCCTGTTTGAATTATGGGTTTGACAAACTAGCGGAAAGGGTGTGACGGAGTCCTGAAATACTTCTGAGAGCTCACTTTTTATTTGCCCTACTTAGTCGCCTCTTTTGTTTTCTTTTCCTATTCTGTGTTCTTTTGTAACTCATTTGCTTCCAGCTGCTCAATTTGTCAGGACTGTGTTTAGATTTAAAATGGACGACGACGACAGTTATGGCATAAAGCCCCTCCCACAGAGCAAAGTGAGAGCTTTCTCTCTATAGCTTTGACCTTAAGAACTGCACTCTGAAATTAATACTGGGAAAGGAAGGAATTGGAGAGAGGCAATCCTGACAACTAACTTAGGCTGAAGAAAGCCTCTCTTGTTGTATCCGACTGTTTTTATCTGTTTCCTCACACCTCTTACTATCTTCATAAATAAAACAACACAAAATGTGTCACACCAATAACTAGGCTACAGAGCTGGATTTTATCATCTTTCACTGTCCACCAATGTATTCCATTGTGAGACAAAACCTTGAAGTGGTTTAGTCTGCTCTCAAAGTAAGCGTAGTGATCTAACAGCATGTGTCTCAAGAAATCTCTTTTAGAGAACTCCAATTATAGGCAAGTAATGTATCTATACACTGTTTATGCTGAGTGATGTGATGAAGATTTCTCTTCTGTCCTAATATGAGGCTCTAGCTGTATAAAAAGATATATTCACTTTTTCCACATAAAATATCATGCCACTTAATAAGTGGATTTTTTCCTCCTTTGATTCCGATAATTTCTGCATTACTAATGCAACTAAGCAAGGAAGAAGAAGCACATTTGCAAATATCTGAATTCCCAACATATTTTGCATTCATTCTCATCCTCTGCGGCGCCTCCATACGCTTGTATTATGAAGGTTACATTTCTCTTTGATGCGTGCTTATGGATAGCTTGTAGAATGTTCTGGGAATAGTGTAAACTCATTAATTTCTGGTGCACAGGATGCTTGTTTTTGAATAGAGTTGTCTGACATTTTCATAACAGACCACTTTGACTAATTTGGTCAATTTTTTTCAAGGATTAATGAACAATTTTTCTGTGGGTGAATGAACTTTTACAAATTCAGTTGTTTGTTGCTAATAATTGATCAAACAATTCATGTGAACAAATTTTGTTTTGTGGGTTATTTGCAAACTTTTTGTTGTCCATTACATGGTTGGTCACCCTAAGTCACATGGTCTTGTTTCTGCTCTCTGATCAGGTGACTGTTTTTTTTTGTTTTTTTTTTGAAATCGCCAATAGCAAATAATCTTGCAAACACTGGTATTCAAATGGAAAGCAGTCCCTCTCCAACCATTTATGTGAACAAAAATTCATTTGTAAGTAGTGAATAAAAAGGGGCATGAACATGGCTGGAGTGAGCAGCTATTTGGATATCAAACACATGCTTGAGAATACTGTTTTGCAGTATTCTTCTACCTCTGGACGAGCTAATTATTACTCAGTAATTATTACTGCGTTTTGTGGCTTTAAAACATTCATTTAGAAAATAGGAAATGGAGTCAATTTTGTTGTCTCTTTTTTTTTTTTTTTTAAATCTGCCTCAATACCAGTCTGCTCTTGAATGTCCTACCTGCAGGATTTTTATAATGTATTTTTTCAAATGTATCCATGCAGCTAAAATAAGCTGACTTCCTCAATTTTCTAAGTTATTGTACAACTTGGTAAATTTAACTGCTTTGCATGTTCTTCTAAATGTGCATACTTATATTGACTAATGTAATGTATGCCTTAGGAAAATGTATAATTTACCACTTCCAATCCCAATTAAACATTCAAAATGAATGTTCTACAATCAAATCAATGGAAGGATTTTTTTGTTTTAGTGCTTACAAAAGGTGCTACATAAATATCAGTTTCCTCTGAAGTCTTTTATTCCTAGAACAGATTTGGCATGGGCAATAACAATGCCAACATCTGAGAACCCGTCTCTGGAGAAATATATCAAGTCCAGCTATAGGCTTCTTGGGGATGAACCCTTGTCTGTGTGGATTTCCACTGAATGTGGATGCAAGTGTCCAGTGGCCTAATGGCATAAGACAGTTCATTTCCCATAGTTATTTAGTCATAAGTTCTGTACCCCCACTGCAAGGGTAATTTTTATGATGTGGACACCTGCAACAGGACTGATAGGGAAACTAATTCTTCTTATTCCCACTCCTAATCACTGCTGATTTAGTCCTGTATATAAATTCTGAGGTGAAAACGTTAGTGTCTCTTACTGATCCCCTGAGCCATCTGGTACCACAACTGATATTGGTTTTTTAAACTGTGTTTTATTCTGTTAGCACATCTATTTTTAAATGTTAAATCTTATCCTTTTATTTGTGTCTCCGTTTCTTTTTCAGCATCATCTTCCTGTGACTGGAGGCAGCAGACAGGAGAACTTCCCTACATCAATGCACTGCCAATGGTAAATACAATTTTAACCGCCTACAAAAAAGTGGTATGAGTCTTTCTTCCAGTACCATTGTAAGTCAATCTTATACTGTAAATAATGTTTTTGAAAGTCTTAGGCCATGTCTCCACTACAAAATTATAACAACCTAACTTGCGTCAGCATACAGCCACTGCAGTTATTAATCACTTGTTTGGGTGCAGTATTTAGCTCCTTGTGCCGGAGGTGCGCGTGCTCAGCAGGAACACTTGTATAGATTGTATTGTCAGCGTGGGGAATTGTGGGACAGCTCCTGAAAGCCAGTAACAGTTGACGTAAGCAACGCAGTGTGTACACTGACAATGTCGACCTAATTACATCAACTGTGATGCTACGCCGCTCGGGGAGGTGGTGTTACTAAATCGGTGTAGAGAGGTACTTACATTGGCGGGAGCCAAATTTAAGTGAAGACGCTTCTGCAGCTAGGTTGATGCTAGGCATCTTCCGTCCGTCCTAGCCCTGTAGTGTAGACCAGGTCTTACTTTTAGCATGCAAGTAGAATTTTCTGCAGCAAAAACCAAAGCTTTATACCAGTTTACAAAGGAATTTACAAGTATTTCCAGATTTAATCCTGTGGGCAAATATAGCAACGTATTTTGTTTTCAACAAATGGTACTAATAAAAGGTTATCAAATTAAACTTTCACCCTGTTGGTAACTTTCTGTTTCTTCTTCTGACCAAGGGCATGGGCAAGTGGTTGTTTTGGCTAGATATTCTACTACCCCCAGTAGCATGCTTTTGAAAGTTCATTTCAATACTAACAGCTTCTCTTGTTAAAAAGCTATTGTTTCAACACATTTGCCAGCATAAAACTAGTGAAGTTACTCTTTGCTCACAGAAATAGGCAAGGCTGATGTCAGCTTTTCTCACTCCCTCCGTGTAATGTTAATAAGCATGGTAGATTATTGCAAGTTTAACTTTGCAGACTGTTTTTAAGTTACTGTAGCTTTTGTAGTGGTTGAGCAGATCAAGAGCAGAAGTGAGGACTGGGGGAGAAAGTCACAGAAGTGAGGACCAGGGAAAGGGTTTCAAATTATTGCCTCTACCTCTGATCAGCTCCATGTGTGATTGCTTTCCTTGTAATTTTGATGTCCTCTTTTGTCACAATGCAGCAGTTTTAAAATCATAACCTGCAGCTCTAACCTGAAAAGTGACAAATATGCTTCGTTCACAAATAAAAAAAAAAGATTTTTTTTAACTGAGAACCCTGAAAATTCCCCCTGGGTTCTGAGAGTTGAACTGGGTTCTTCACTTTGTATAATCATGAGTATTAAAAGATATGCAAATCAATTACGGCCTTAGTTAAAGTTTCACAACCTCACTGCCTTCATCTTGTGCTCTGAGTAACACCAAAAAAGGCAGTGGGTTTGTATGGATGTAACTGATTTGTCCTGATATTGAATTTAGTAAACAACTCTGATAATGCATAAGACGGAAAAGCTGTATTGGCTGGACAAGACAACCAGGAGTGAAACATAATGCAATATTACCTTGTCATTAAAGAGAGCAAATATAACTCTGACAAACACCTCTGTGCAGAGGACTTACACCTGGGGTGGGCAAAATATGGCCCGCGGGCCGGATCCGGCCCGTCTAACATTTCTGTCTGGCCCGCCAGGCTCTTTGACTGCCACCTTGCGATCTCCGGGCTGCTAAAAGTTTCGCGGCGCAGCGGGGTGCTCTGGCAGGCCGTGGCAACACGCCGCTCCTGGAAGTGGCCGGCTGCTGTTGGCGTGTCTCTATGTGCCCCTGGCTGGGGGGGAGATGGCTCTGCGCGCTGCCCCCGCCCCCAGCACCATCCTCACAGCTCCTATTGGCCGGAAACCGGCCAATGGGGGCTGAAGGGGGCGGTGCTTGCGAGCATGGGCAGTGCACGGAGGCCCGCTGCCCCTCTTCCCCCCCAAGGGGGACGCGCAGAGACGTGCCAGCAGCAGCCGTCTGCAGTCGCTTCTGAGAGCGGCATGGGGCCACAGCATGTAGGGAGCCTGCCTGAGCCCTGCTGCACCAATGGCTGGGAGCTGCCTGTGGTAAGCACCTCCTGGCCAGAGCCCGCACCTCGCACCCCCCCACACACACCCTAACCTCCTGCCCCAGGTCAGAACCCCCTTCTGCGCCCGAGCTCCCTCTTGCGCCCAAACTCCCTCCCAGACCTTGCATCCCCTCCATTAATATAGTAGAAATGTGCAGCCCATGGTGACTTATCAAAATTCGTGGAGTGTTCCCCCTACAAAAATTATTGCCTACTCCTGACCTACGCAAACTCTATGCACCACTTAAGTCTCAGCTAAACCCTTTGTGACGTTGTGCAGTCTATATGGTTTTATAAAAACATAATAAGTGAATGTAACGTAACTGGGATATGCTTCATGCAAAAGGTCTCTTGTAAGGTATCATTACAAAGCTCATAATCTACCGAGTGTGATCATCCTATTTTCTTGTATCTAAAACTAGAAATATAAAATGTAACTCTGAGGGCCTATTGTAATTATGTAAAGTGTGGGCCATTAATGATGGTTTGGAATCTTGATGACTCCCATTGTCTGCAGATGGCTGTTTGCCTGTGAATCTCCCTGTATATGTGTGTGCTGGCAAGTGAGTAATGAAGTCTTGCAGTGACATGTGATCATGTCACCTGAACTGGACTCCATCTTTAACCTGGTGCTTTTCCAGTGAGGGGGGGTGGAAACCCAGAGGGACAAAGGGTTCCCGCCTTATGCAAAAGATATATAAAGGGGTGGAAGAGAACAGAGTGTGAGAGGAGCCATCATGGAGAATCCCCTAGCTAACACCTAAGCTGGAACAAGAGCTGTACCAGGGGAAAGAATTGTGCCCAGGCCTGGAAGGTGTCCAGTCTGAGAAAAACTTACTGAAGCATCTCTGAGGGTGAGATTATCTGTATTTAGTTTGATTAGGCATAGATTTGCGCATTTTATTTTATTTTGCTTGTGACTTACTTTGTTCTGTCTGTTACCACTTTGAACCACTTAAATCCTACTGTCTGTATTTAATAAAATCACTTTTTATTTAGTAATTTACTCAGAGTATGTATTAATACCTGGGGGAGCAAACAGCTGTGCATATCTCTCTATCAGTGTTATAGAGGGCGAACAATTTATGAGTTTGCCCTGCATAAGCTTTATGCAGGGTAAAACGGATTTATCTGGGTTTAGACCCCATTGGGAGTTGGGCATCTGAGTGCTAAAGACAAGCACACTCCTGTGAGCTGGTTTCAGGTAAACTTGCAGCTTTGGGACAAGTGATTCAGACCCTGGGTCTGTGTTGGAGCCAGACTGGAGTGTCTCGCTCAGCAAGACAGGGTGCTGGAGTCCTGAGCTGGCAGGGAAAACAGAAGCAGGGGTAGTCTTTGCACATCGGGTGGCAGCTCCCAAGGGGGTTTCTGTGATCCAACCCGTCACACCCTTAAAATGGGGTATGGATGTTTCATAGGCAATATGCTGGCCCAGTCACTTTTCAGGGTAGAATGGCACTCACTGTGGAAAAGCGTGAGGCTAGCTGTACCCTCAGACCTTTCTATTAGCTCCAAAATTTTATTGCTAATCTCAACTGCTTTCCACCAGAAAACAATACTACTTTTTTTATTTAAGAACATCTTTTTAGCCAAGATTTGAAATACAGTTCTGTTATTGCATCTCTTAAAAACATGACTCATTCCATATTAAGCTAGTCTTAATACCTCATTAAATTTTAAAATACTGAGAAGATCTGTATTTGAAATCTTGTTGCATTCTGTCCTAATTTTCCCTCCCCACAAAGTATATTGAACGCAGAATTGTTCAAGGGCATGCTATTTGGTTCAGTAATAATAAAAGATACTTAACTGCTACGTGGAGCATCAAGAAATGGTCTTCAGTACTTTCATAAGAGCTGCTCTCACTACAGAGATGGGACATATTTTACTATCCCAACTTTTTCAGAACAGTTACTTATCTTTTAATTAGAATTATACTGAAATACTAATACAGTTAAGAGACAGGTAAGACAAGTTTTCCATCTTACCAAAGGTAAGTATTACTATGAGTTGTTTTTCTCTTGTGGACTCTGTAGATAAAATGGTGACAGTAGGTGACCTGAAAACAATTTTTGTTTTTCCCCCAAACACCTCTGTCTTGGGTTATGGATACAGGGTTCAATTCTGCAAGGTACTAAGTGCCAAACACTCAGTCCAGCAAAGCACTTAAGCTAAAGTACATCTCTAATGTTCAGCATGTGACTAGTCACATTGAAGTTAATGGCACTACTCAGATATTTATAGTAATGCACAAGCTTAAGTATGTGGCTTGATCGGGATCCTTATGCTCAGTACCTTTGTAGGATTGAGTCCCAAGTATGTCTGATCCTTCTATTTACGGATCCAGCAACACTTGTGGTTTTTTTTTTTTTTCACATTTTGGTTTTTTTTTTTTTTTTTTTTTTTTTTTTGGTTTTTGTTTTTTTTTTGGTTTTTTTTTTTTTCCCCTTTGTGTTTTTTTTTTTTTTTTTTTGTAGTGTCAGTGGTCTTTCAAGATTCTCAGTCAGAAACAAGAGTATAAAACACAAAAATCTCATAATTTCTCTAATTTGTGCCTTTCTAATTTAAACCTGATTCGATGCACACCCTGTGCAAAAGTAAGTAACTATGTTAACAGCATGTACATAAGTAAGCTAAAATGCATTTTCCTTTTTAAGGAAAAATCTTGAAATTGAATTAATGGACATTACATCATTTTACAGTATTTCACTGTAGCGAAGCAAAAATTGCTGTAGTCTTCAGATATATACTCCCTATTCAACTGTAATGTTGCTGAGAACCTCCAGAGAAAACAATGAAGGAGGTGGCTCAATTTAACAAATAATTCCCACTAAGTGAAGGGCGTTGAGTCTGTATTACTACTTACCCTAGGAGCCTGAAACTTCACAGCCCCCCCTTTGAGGAAGTGAAGCAGATACATAGTTACTCAAGGTCTCACATAGTTCGT